AAGCGCCAAAACGACAGAATAATATTTAACGTGTCACTAAGTGCAAAACATCACAGGCAAAATGATATAAAAGCACGAAAATCATAAAAGTGGAACTCACGTTTTACAGGCGACGTCAAAATAAGCAAAACAAAGTCGGCGCAGAGTCGCGACGGTGGACTCGTGGGAAACGTGGATCGGAAGTAAATTTGACTTCCGGTTGCCGTCGCCCCGTAGAAAACGTCAGGTGCTTAAGTTCCCTAATTTCAAAGTGGCGAATACATTTCTTCATAACATCATCTGTGTTGACAAGCTTCGCATTTGACACGAGATAAAGGCAAACACAGCTACATGTGAAACCGATAAATAGAAATCCGAAACTTATTGACCGATTTCTACGCCTACACAGATTAATCGAGCCATATACATTGAAAACGGTTATGTTCCAAGATAACTATCAAGCTGTGAAAGGAAACTTTGCTTTTTATCAAAGTCGAAAAACAAACGCAGCAATAAAAACAGTCGAGGACTTAAAAGCTTTTCTCTAAATTTTGTCCCTAAATCGAAATGCCTACGTTTTAGACTTAAGCGGCCGGTGTAGAATCCTTATCAAAGTCTATTATGGACTAATTAACGACGGGCCTTACATGCCATTACAAGAATACAATAGTTACCAAAGCAACGATGGCTAATTAACACGTTGCCTTGTCCAAGATTAACTTGATTGATCATCAAGTTTAGGCATTGGAAAAATATTGCAGTGTTTAGGTGCCAGTTTGATAAAAAAAAAAATTAGAGAAACGCTACGACCCAGCGCAAAAATTTTGACATGAAAGTAGCCAGTCGAAAAACCGCTCAAAAAAAATTTGTATGATCCATTAAAAACTCCATCAATCAGTAGCATCGGGAGCCCATTACTTGGAGCGTTCAACTCCCACACTGAGCCCATTTCATGGCATTTTCACAGAACGGTTTATTTTTAGAGTGTATTTTCCCGGGATATAGACTTAGGTAATACGATCCATGAAACACGAAGGAAAAAAATGGCGGACTAATGCGGGCACGTCTTCGTATCAAAACTACGCAAATTCCGCCTTTGTTTCCTGTATTCCAGTATTCCAATCTCTCCTTTCCTTACCTTACATATACCTTACATATCCTTACATATCCCACTATCCTTTGCACATTGTTCACACTTTCAACTTGCAGAGTTGCAGAAAAAAATTAGCAGGAGAGCGGAGCATCGTTGTATTTTTTTTTTTTTTTTTTTTTTTTTTCGTGTGTATCAAAGGTTATCCGTCCCTGGCCCCTAAAAAAGAAAAATTTCATGATGGAGAGCGTAGAAACAAAAATTGCGTGAAAAAGCTATGTGCGAGTCGTCTTCACATCAAGAATCTTCAGTCCACATCGTCCCTAAAGGACATTTTGCGACGCAGGATTGAACAGAAGCTGGCGCAATAAAATGAAGAGCTTGTTTCTACATCGCAAGAAAAAAATGCTACTCTTTTGAATTGGGCTTCGATCTTGTCAAATCTTGTATGGTGCGGTCGATGGCGGAGAGTGCTTTATTGCTGCATTCGACAGAATTCACGGTGCTTATTGTCGATTTGATCATTGAACAGTATAGAATCAGGTTCATAAATAGCACTTTCCTCGGAACTGCTGCTTCCCGAAGTACTTTCAAAATCTTCACACGAATCTGCACTCGAACTATCGCAAGAATCCTTGCACGTGTATGCCATTTTTCTTCGGAAATATTGACAAGTAAAGTTAGAAATTAATAAGGTGCTGATCTTGATTGGTCAATGAGCTCTCACGGGGAGTCCTTATTCGCGGAAAATTCAAATTAAAAGTAAACTTGTCTGTGAAAACACCGCGACAAAAATACAGGGCAGTTGAACGCTCCAAGTAATGGGCTCCTAGTAGCATTTACTAATACAGACACTTCCCACTCCTCCTTGCGTACTAATAGTTCTTCTTCCAGCCCTCCCCCGGTGACAACAGTTTGCCCTCCACCCCTTTCTGAGTACTGATAGACTGCATCCCACGCCTCCCTAAGTACTAATGGTTCGTCTTCCAGCCCTACCCCCAAAAAAGGTCCATAAAATGGTCCCAAAAAAGGTCCAAAAGATGTTCAATAGTCCAAGGGTCCAGTGGTCCAGTCCACTTTCATCCTATGCCACGATTTCATTAGAGTGATGTCAAACTCGTTTTCTTGGAAAGCTAAAAGGTGCGCCAATAATCAAATATCGAGCAAATTAAGAAGCTTTGAAGGCTATCCGTTAAACTAGTTGGCAAAGATTATTCGAGCTTGGGATATTGACCACATTCTTAAAACTTTGGCTTTTGAAAAGCCAAAGCCGAATTAACTGCATCTATTGTTGATCGGCAGTAGACATCGACCATCTGCCAGAGTGATGACGGTATATCATTAATTACAAACACAACTCAACGATGTCGGAAAGCAGAATTATGTGGGTTTTTTGGTTCCTGTTAAACGTCATCCTTATCACCTCAAAAGGTGAGTAAAAGTATATTTCTCCTCTTTCTGATTTGCAAAGCATCTTATCATAATCTCGCCTCAGCAACGATTTACCGAAGGAAGTCTCCAGACGACCGTTGCTGCAAAAAAAAAGCGGAAAATAATGTTGTCGCGTTGAGGCGTTGTTACACAATTTTCTGCTTCCCCACAAGTTTAGGTATAAAAAGATTCTAAAATTTGTATAGTCGTCTCCAAATCGTATATTTCTTTCCTTTGTGATTTGCAAAGTATCTTATCATAATCTCGACTCAGCAACGATTTACCGAAGAAAGTTCCAGATGAACGTTGCTGTAAACAGAAAGTGGAAAATTATGTCGCGTCTACACGTTGTTCATGTTTGTTCTATGAACTCCTGCTCAGTGTCCTACTGCCCTCCAAGTTTACAGTCGAAGAATTTGGGTGTTATTCAACGCTTATGTTAAGATTTGTACAAACAGTGGGGAGTTATCCGAGAATTTAAAATCCTTAGGGTAGATAATTTCAAAATAACGAATACGTTTCTTCATAAAACATCTGTGTTGACAAGCAATTGACACGAGATAGAGGGAAACACGCTTACATATGAAGCCGATAGATAGATATCCGAAACCAATTGAACGATTCCTACGCCTTCATAGAATAATCGAGCCATATGCATTGATAACAGTTAGCAACGATGTACCGAAGGAAGTTTCCAGATGACCATTGCTGCAAACAGAAAGGAGAAAATAATGTTGTCGCGTCTAGGCGTTGTTCTTTAATTTTTTATGCAGTTCTACTCAATCTCCTACTGCCCTTCAAGGTTAGGTATTAAAAGACCCTAAAATTTGTAAAGTCGTTTCCAAATCGAACATTTCTTTTCTTTGTGATTTGCGAAGTATCTTATCATAATCTCGACTCTGCAATGATTAACCGAAGAAAGTTCCAGATGAACGTTGCTGCAAACAAAGAGCGGAAATAATGTCACGTCAACGCCTTGCAAATCACTTTTTTATTAAATCTTGCTCAGTTTCCTACTGCCCACCATGGTAAGGTATAAAGAGACTTAAAAATTTGTACAGTCGTCCCCAAATCGTGTCTGTAGTAAGAAATATTTCAGAAACAACAAATAGTGCAGCCAAGTTTCACTGACGTAAAACAATTAATGTGCTGTACTCTACATTTGGAATCTGTTGTTGAGAAATATTTCTAAGCTGCCAACCCAGACGCAGAAAGGAGGTTATAGCATGTGCCATGTTTAGATTTTAAGCTTTTCAAGCTATGCTTAATTATAGTATCTCCCAAAGTTTTTATTTTGATAGGACATGGTTTAAGCTAAAGCTTGTAAAAAGTTGTATAATTCAATGAAAAATTAAATTGCTTCTCAGAAATCCCTTAAAAAAGAGAGAGATTAACAAATGCGTTCCAAAGACAGCTTAACCTGATTAAATCTTTTTGCTATTTTATCTCTTAGAAATGTGTTAGATGAAAGCGTGTGCTCTGTTCGCTGCGGAAAGAGAGCAATATAATAATTTCAAATAAATCAAAAGTAGCGTGATGTACTGACATTACAATTTGTTAAGGTCTTCTGTGATGCAAATTAATAACAAGTGATAATTGGATTTCTCGTGTAATTTGGTATAAATAAGAAGTTGTAAGTTTTTTTTTTCTAGACTGCAAATAGGGTTCATGCAGTTTTGTTGTCTTTGAAATTTTTACTTTTATTTTTTCACACCAAATTGCACTCGACATCATTTTATTACCTTTACAAAAACCAAGCATTGTATTTTTTTCTGTCGATCTGTTTCGCTCCGTCATAAGAACTTGATTTATACGCTGAGCCGGAATGTATAGTAAGGGCTAACCCTTCAAGTAGATAGCAGATATGCTTTTTGTATAAAGCCGGTGAAATTTACGAACTTTCTTTCAATAAGAAAATTGTGTTCAACGTACTGAGCTGGCCCTTAATTGTGTTAGCAAAAAATAGAATGATATCACAAGTTTACAGTCGAAGAATTTTAGTGTTAATCAACGCTTATGTTAAGATTTGTACAAACAGTAGGGAGTTATTCGAGAATTTAAAATCCTTGGGGTAGATAATTTCAAAATGGCGAATACGTTTCTCCATAACATCATCTGTGTTGACAAGCTTCCCAATTGACTCGAGATAAAGGGAAATACGGCTACATGGAGAGAAACATGGCTACATGTGAAGCCGATAGATAGAAATCCGAAACCAATTCATCGATTTCTACGCCTACACAGATTAATCGAGCCATATACATTGATAACGGTTATGTTCCAAGTTAACTATCAAGCTGTGAAGGGAAACGTTCCATTCTATCGAAATTGAAAAACAAACGCAGCAACAAAAAAAGTCGAGGACTTAACAAGCTTTTTTCTAAATTTCGTCCCTAAGTCGAAATGCCTACGTCCGCAATAAAACGTTTCAGGCTTGAGCGGCCGGTGTAGAATGCAAACGTTACCAAGGTCTCTTATGGGATAGTTACTGACGGGCCTTAAATGCGATTCAAGAAAAATTAATCAAGAAAGAATCGCTACGTCCAAGCGCAAAATGTTTACATAAAGATAGCCAGTCGAAAAACTGCTCAAAATAACTTGTATGATCCATTAAAAACTCCATTGATCGGTAGCATTTACTAATACAACCACCTCCCACCCCTCCCTGCGTACTACTAGTTCGCCTTCCACCACTCCCCCAGTAAGAACCGTTTGCCTTCCACCCCTCCCTGATAGACTTCCTAATTACTACCTTCTTAGTCCTACCTTCTTCCCAATTACTACCTAATTAGTCTACCTTCCTCCGATAAAATGGTCTTAAAAAATTGGTCCAAAAATTGGTCCAAAAAAAGGTCCATAAAATGGTCCAAAAAATAGTCCTTATTTTACTCTATGCTTCAAGTTCGTCCATAAAATGGTCCATAAAATGGTCTAAAAATAGAATGTCAAACTCGTCTCCTTGGAAAGCTGAAAACAGCGTCATTAACCAAACACCAAGCAAACTCAGTAGCTTTGAAGGTTATCCGTTTAACTACTGAGCAAATATCATTTGAGCTTGAGATATTGACCAAATTCTTAAAACTTTGGCTTTTGAAAAGCCAAAGCCGAATAAACTGCATCTATTGCTGAACGGCAGTAGACGTCGATCATACGCAAGAGTGATGAAGATATATTCATAGGTTATTTCACGGTTGGTGAGCGCGTACGATTTTTATTCACAAGTTGTGTAAAACAAACTCACTCGCTGCGCTCGTTCGTTTGTTTTTGTGAATAAAAATCGAACAAGCGAAATAGCCGTGAAGCAACTTATTTATTATATACATACCGAGATTCATAAGCGAACAGAACTCAGAGATGAACATATTTTTATTCTCTTTCAAAGGAAAACAACGCGCGGCCGAGCCGCCTCACAGTTCGAGAGTTGCACTGAAATGGCTTCCTTGTAAAATACTTTATATTTAAATTAACCAGCCTTTAAAAGGCAGAACTAGTTAGAATGAAATAAGACACCCTGAAAATATGTCGAAATAATTCTACGAACCGTTAAAAGGAACTTGCTGAGAAACTTGTTCAGCTCTTGAGGATTGTACATTTGTCTCCTCTCGCCTTTCAAAACGAGAAATTCGTGGAACAGCGCAATATCGTGTTTGGTCTCTTTCTGGGTGTTTTAATTTTCCTGTCCGTCTATGAACTCTTCTGCTGATGAATCTAGGCTGTGAAAACGATTAGTCTGATTTGAAGCCATCTTTCTAAAGAAAAGTGCGCCTATGCTCTTAGCAATGTGCTATTTGTTAGTCAAGAGGAGCGGCGAGCGAGCGAGCGACAAGGTTTTGTTCACTAGAGAAAACATTGATAAAGCCAATCAGAGCGTCGATACGTCGTTTTTCACTAGTGAAATAAATCGTATGACCAATCAGTTGGCTTCTCTTGTGCGAAGAGACTATTTTTATCTTGATGCTTTTTGGCGCGTAAATCTCGGCATGTATAACATTAATTACAAAACAGGGGGAAGGAAAATAATCGTCGGGAAGCAATGTCGGGAAGCAGGATTATGTGGGTTTTTTGGTTCCTGTTAAAAGTCATCCTTATCACCTCAAGCGGTGAGTGAAAATATATTTCTTCTCTTTGTGATTTGCAAAACATCGTATAATCTCACTTTAGAAACGATTTACCGAAGGAAGTTTCCAGATGACCGTTGCTGCAAACAGAAAGCGGAAAATAATGTTGTCCTGTCTAGGCGTTGTTCATTAATTTTTTTATTCAGTCCTACTCAGTCTCCTGCTGCCCTTTAAGGTTAGGTGTAAAAAGACTCTAAAATTTATATAATTGTCTCCAAATCGTATATTTCTTTTCTTTGTGTTATAATCTCCACTCAGCAACGATTTACCGTAGAAAGTTCCAGATGAACGTTGATGCGAACAGAAAGCGGAAAATAATGTCGCGTCTACGCGTTGTTCATAATTTTTTTTATGAAGTCTTGCTCAGTTTTCTATTCCCCTCCAAGGTTAGGTATTTAAAGACTTTGAAATTTGCATGATCGTCTCCAAATTGTATATTTCTTTTCTTCGTGAATTGCAAAGTATCTTATCATAATCTCGACTCCGCAACGATTTACCGTAGAAAGTTCCAGATGAACGTTACTACAAACAGAAAGCGAAAATAATGTCGAGTCTACGCGTTGTTCATGATTTTTGTATGCAGTCCTGCTCAGTTTCCTACTGCCCTCCAAGGTTAGGTATAAAAAGGCTCTAAAATTTATATAGTCGTCCCCAAATCGTGTCTGTAATGAGGAAGAAAATGCCCTCTAAAGACGGCTAGACTTGATTAAATTTTTTTGCTATTTTGTTTCCAAAAAATGTGTTAAATGAAAGCGTGTGTTCTGTTCGCTGCGGAAAGAGAGCCATAGGAAATTTCAAATAAATCAAAAGTAGCGTGATGTGCTGTAATTACAGTCTGTCGAGGTCTTCCGTGATACTTTTTTTCATTAAAACAAGTGATAA